CGTCTAGTTGCACGTAAGAAGCACTTTGCACCTTCCCAATAGCTCTGCGTGAAAGCGCTATACATGGCGCATTGCAGAGGTGATGCCAATTGGCGCCCAGTGAACTATTTCCTGATATCCTTGGCAAAAACATGCGTTTCTGAAGCATACCAAAGTCCTTAAGCCAAGCGGAGGTTTTATGGCGTTAGAGGGGTTGATTTTTCGGGTCGTGGGGTAGTGATCACGGGGTGATCACAACGGGGATCATAAAATGAAAGTTTGCTGGAAAGTAGAAAGCTTCATGCTTCCGGCACAGTTTTTTTTTACGAAAGGCCGTGTATGAAGCTTGCCATGGATGTCCAAAGCGTAGCGACTTGTGGTTGGCCCCCCATGATCACGCAAGGATCACAACGGAGAAAAATTCCTAGAAAAGGATATTTTTGGAATCGCTCAAAATCAGGTAACAATTTCCAACCTGGTTCCCTTCTCCGAAAGTTTCACTCTCAAAGAAGTAGCGGGAAATGATCACAACGCGATGGCGTGCCCTGGAGGGAGGGCCTCGTAACGGTCTGGGTTACGGCACCAGCAGTTAACGGACTGCGAAATCTCCTCTATCTTCTCTTGATATATCATCCTCTGTCTTTTAGCGTTTTTCGAAGCTCTAGATTAGAATTTCTAGACTGTGGAGCGTTATTTCCCTTTCGCGACATCATGTGCACTAGTAGAGTATTTCCTAGGTAGTCTAGACAAATACAGGCACAGAGAGAACTAGTCGACTCGAGAGACAAGACATAGTCGGGGGGGGGGGGAGGGAAGGGGGGAGGGCCCTTCGACGTCCAAGGGACTCGTCCTCGGCGCCGAATGCTGCGGGGCCAGGACCGGCTCACATCGCGCTTGCAACTGCTATTTTTGCTGGGGCTACAGGGGAAGTAACGGCTTTACTCGCCAGTAACAAGCGCGTCCTGCAGGTTGGGGGAAAAATAACTTGCGAAAAGACTCCGAATCTCGTACTCTAATACCGGAGCCCCACAAACTCCTTCCGCCGTGTCCCCCCCCCCCGTCCATGCCACACATCTTCTTGAACTATCCATTTTCCTAACCACTGAGAAAACTCAAGCAACAACTATCTTCGCTCAGAACGGTAACCGGACCTTACATCTCTCCACCCGACTAAATACGACCCCCCCCCCACGTGGGGATTCCAACATGCAACGCGCCCTGACGCCCAAACGTCGCTTTCCCATTCGTGTGATTACCGATATATACCAGGAAACACTTCGAAACAGTTTTCGACGCTGTTAGGGTAAAGGGAGGAAGACATTCACCCGTGCCGTTCTACCTGGGACGCCAACGACAATTTGGTCCTGGGTTTTTTCCACTCAAGGTGAATGTTGTAGAAAGCTCAGCTTTAACTGGGTACTCGGTTGAGCTGAGCTTATCACTAAAATAGTTTATTCATTTGAAAAATCACATGATGAGGGCGCGTTCGCAACTTTGATACTAGCGAATATTTGCAAAGACATTCATGAAACATTGTAAAAATGAACGCTAAATTTGGACTTGTACATTAACAATCGCGTATGACGAGATGTATCGCCTGCATACATGGTCGTTTTGGAGGGAATGAATCCCAGCACGAAGCCATGATCTTGGCGAGCGGTTGAGGGCAGTCCTGCAATGAAAAGAACGGATCAGGGTGTAATGGTAGCAGGTAGAATAGCCACGATCTTCGTGGTCGGAATGTCGATAGAGGGACTCCTACTGGGGAGACGTGACGGAAGCAGCGCTACAAGAGAAGCCACGTGCGCGGCATTCGCACCAGAACCTAAGTGATTTAACGAGGAATTGCTACAGCATGTCGGATCAGGTTAGCAGATACACTTATTTTGTGCTCTAGAAAATAGAACACGTAGCGTGGCATAGAGGCGTCGCTGCGTCCCCCCCCAACACTTTTTGTTCCGATTACCTGCGAGTGAGTTCTTTTGATCATTTATGAATTTCTCGAACAACATACCTTGGGAATAGGCATTCTGTACTCATCGTTGAGTATGATTCGTTTGACAGCATTTGGTGACATTCCAGGGTATGGTTCACTACCTTCTGTGTACACTTCCCACATTAGTATGCCTAAAAATGCGATCGCAGATGACGTTATAAGACCCTGCTGTAAGGGATACTCACCAAAAGACCAAACATCCGACTTCAGACTGTATTTGCGATCCTTCAACACCTCTGGCGCTTGCCATTTCACAGCGATTTGCATGCTTGGAATTTCGTGATTTTCGCCCAGGTGCTCACAGAGAGCAAACCCGGATATTTTCACCTGCTAAAATATTTTGCTTGAATGCAGGAAGGGATGGACGGGCCAAGGAAGGATGTCATTGGTGTACGCCTTTCCAGGCCTTTGCCCTTTTTTTCGTCCTGCTCACAACGGCAGCGAGAAAGGCAGTGAGAGGGGGCCACCAATGACACCACCCCTTAGTTCCGCCCATTCGGCAGTCTTGGTGGTGTCTTTGAAGGCTAAATGCCTGGGAGCTGACGGCGACTAACCAAGGCATCGTTAAGTTTGCAATTTCGAGCCGCGAATATCTCGATGAATGTAGTTCAGTTGAGCCAAGTAGGATAGGCCAGCTGCCGCTTCACACACAAATCGTCGCTTCTCTCGCGGAGAAATACGTCCAGCGTTTCGGCGGAGGTGGGTAAACAACGATGCTGAAAGATGTCAGCAAATCTGTAGAGCGCATACTTCCAACCAATTGGTTGTAGTTCTAGACATCCACGCTGCGCTGCAAATGGTGTCATGTGCGCGACATTCGCACCAGGACCTAATTTACTTGGAAAGTGCTGTAGTACATGCCAAACTAGCTTGTCACAAACATTAGCTCGTTCGTGCACGTCACCGCAAGGCGGATCTCCCGGCCCACACCTTAGCGGCTCCTGGCCCCACACCTTAGCCGGCGTCACTTACAGCCTACGTGGATCGAAAAGAGAAAAAAAAAACATACTGTTAAAGTACTCCAAAACGAGAATAATAGGGCTGTAGTGCAATGCGATGCCGTAGGTTTCGCCGACATTTTCGTGGCAAAGTGATCGTAGGAGACGAGCTTCTCGACTGCACTAAAACTGAAGGCGATATCGTCGCAATAAGCGGGGCGGTGTCAGAAGGGGTGGAGTGAGCCCGCTCCGTTGCGTTTTCTACCAACAGTGGCCGGTTGGCGATTTGAGAAGAAAACTAGCAGCGTTGGAAAAGTCCGCGGTTGGGCTCATTCCATGCCTCCTGACACCTCAACTGAAGGCACGACCATTACTGCCGCGCGGTAACGAGGATAAACTTACGGATATTCCTATTGTTTTCAGAAATACTGGGCGAGTAATGTTATTCTGAACTAGCTCTCCGATGAATTCCTCTACACTATGATGCTTGCCGAGGCTCTGAATTATTGGAGCAACAGATTTTTAGTCCTTCTACTAGATGGAAAGACTTATAACCAGCAAGGAAGAGTGTAGCGGTCAGGAGGTAAGATTCAGGTGTCCATAATTCAGACTTACGAAAATTCGTGATAGATGCGTATCGATTGGCTCGGCAGCGCGTAAGTGGAGAGTTAGCGAAAAGGACGATTCAGGGCACGTCCTGCCCTTAGGCAGCGTTCAGACTTCGCGACGGCAGCGCTTCGGTCGCGCGTTGGACGCGATCGACGAAGAAGGAAGCTGCATCGATCGCGTCGAGAGCAAGACCGAAGCACTGTCGTCGCGAAGTCTGAACGCTGTCTTACGGATTTTTTTTCTCAAAAGTGATTCACAACATCACCGCCTTAGTGCGCCTTCTCCTAGTATCCCGAAGAAGAAAAGACTGATGAGGGAAAGGGTAAGAAATGGGGGAAATGGCGATGCGAGACGACTGCTTCCGACATTTCTTCTCCGATACAACCCCCTTCCCCTAGACTACCTACTCTAAATTTTCCTTGTTTCTATCCAACAGATCTTCTTTTTTCCGAAAGTTTTTCACTTTTTTAGAACAGTAGACAGGACGGGTCCTATCTTTGGATAAGGATTCCGCATTCCCATTCGCACCTACTTACCATCCTCATGAATTCTCTAAACATCCAACCAGTTCTTCGAGTCCCCCCCCCCCCTTCTCAAGAAAAACTACTACCGTTCGAGCGAGGGAGGGATATGAAAAATCACCCGCTGAACGAACATCTTCCCCGCCTCGAAAGAACATCTGTCTAGACCAGATACCATACCGACCAGACACGACCTTTCTCTCTCCCAAACGACCAAGCAGGTATTCAGGTATTCTCCAACGATGGTGTGCCCTGTGAGAAGAGGTTACGAGTGTCCTTTGACAATAACAAGATGTGTCCTTAGGTGCCAGGGTTACAGTCCAACACCAACCAGAGGTTGAAGATCTAATGACAAGGAGAAGCAGTTAGAATCCCTGTACTGAAAAGGTATTACTTCTTTGAAAACGATGTCTTCATGATTCAACATCCACTCTTGCCGTGGAATTGGCCGTTTCAGTACTGCCTGT